GGAAACATTTGCCAATATCCATCTATCTGATCGAACCTGTAAAAAACAAAACATTACTGCCTAACGAGCAAACTGAGAACTTGTAACAGAAATTCTCGTCTATCCCAAGAGAAGATACTAGCCGACTGTTTTAGGAGGAATTTCTAATCACCTATTATCTTCTTTACTGTTCCTGAGCTATGCTTCTTTGACAATCCTCATTGAATAACTGGAATATGTTATGATTCGGAAACACTAAATGTTAATATTACAGCAGTCCTAAACTACAGTATCTAATGGAAACAATTAACTTGGTGAAATACATGAACGATTTAACTAAAATGGCATGTATAATTTTTAGAACATTCGATCTTTATTATTTCTGTACTTACTTACCTAAACAGAAAACAATATCTGTCACTAACCTGCGACACAAGTCGATCGACCGCTTCGTTGAGAACTTCAATACCTGTAGCTCGAGGCACCTGTGTAACACCCAGGAAATGACATCGAATGGTTCTTTTTGGCTCCTCGATTGGAGTTGGTAAATATGTATCTCCTGCAGACCAACCAAATATATCGCTCTATCAAGTGTTCCTTCTTTTTCTGTTTTTATAAGCAAATAAATGAAATAGGTTTGAACTGACTGGCAATGAGCCTCTTTTCGCCATAATCCAAAGAGCCCAGACTATTTGGCCGTCGCTGAAGCATCAGTCGTTTACAGATATCACGTAAGGTACTTGCAATAGTCCGTGCAGGTGTGTCGCAACGAAATACATGACACATAAAACGGCGTGAATTTCGATCTCGTGAAACGTATGCAAAATCTCTAGAACTTGCAGATCAGTTACCAAAAAGAATTAGATGAAATTTGGATATATACATAAGCATGAAAAGCTAAAAGCAATAAGACAGAAAGTGAGTGCGTGTAGAGAAAAACATTTAGAAGTGTGATATTTGACAATTCCAAACTCGATAATTGTAGCAGTGCTAAAGATCAAAAGGACAAAGCGTATAAAAAGTAATGACTCGTAGCCAGGATGGCCCATCGTGCAAAACCGTGATGAATAACTTGATCTAACTTATATGGGTTCTACATTGCTACTGATACATTCAACAATATCTCACCTTACGGGTAAATATTTTTTCAAATAATAAAATGTAAAAAATCTCAAACTATGTCACATTACTTGTCGAACAGGTACTTAACACTACTAATAGGCAGTAAATGTTTTGTAAAAACATTTACAGTTCGCAGTTCCAACAAAGTGATGAAAGTCAGATTTAAAAAGATACGTCTTGGCTGCGATGCACACGGGTTTTGAGAAAATGAGAATTGAACTAAGAATTACAAAATGAATGGAGGTGCAAATACCACTTAGAGGATAAGAAGCGTGCAAATTACCTGTCACTGTAGCAGTATTTAAAAAAAAAAATTTCATTAATAAAAACGAATGACAGATATTACTTGAATTGATTCAAATTATTTCGCATTGTGATTTACTTCCAGAAATTTCAGTAATTCTTACAACTGCGAAATTCACTAATATTTGTAGGCTTCTACTCAACCAGTAGATCATCCAAAGATTCTTGCTATCATGTGTATTATTAGCTGCTTGACTGTTTCAAGACGCATAACAATATAAAATATAAAATAATGTCCAGTCATTAGATTTTTGCTACGCAACAAAACCTAACTGTTTCATCCCAGCCACGAGTCTTCCACACATGATACCTCAGAAAATAAACGATGACCTACCGGCCATTATCACGCCCAACCCCCCAAACTCGAATATGTTGCATTCGTTCGGTATGTACCACACACATCGTATCAGGATCAATTAACGTCAAATCACTGTTGTCTAGTTCCATAATAAGCTCTCGACCCTGAAAGTTACTCAACATGCTAATTTGAATTGAAAATTCAAAAAAATTCAATACGCTATTTCGAATTACACGTGGTAAACATTTTTTGAATTAGAAATGAATTTTAAGATTACCCAAAGAAATTCGAAACATTAATTTCCTTGGAAGCTAAACCTTTCCAATACTTACATCGCCCCACTTAGAAACATTATCCAGAATATCGTTTCGTCCTGTGCTCAGATCTACAATGGCTTTGTTGACAGCTCGTGAACTTTTCTCGGGAGTTAAATCTTCCTCTGGAATTTCAGCCCAACCCAAAGAGCGGACTGCAAATCGAATCGGCTGAAAATGGTAATGATTTGTGTGCCCAAATGAACTAATTTTTCCAGAGCAAATCTCTGTTAATAACAAAAATTTCTCTGGAAGTGATAAAACATAAAGTTACAACACAAAATTACAGGTTCATTTTTCAATAGATTCTTTCCAAGTTTTAAAAGGTATCACTAATTCAACCATAATTTCATCCCAAAAATTATTCTCAATATGCATCAGAGCAACACTGAGGATACTCAATGTACAGTTTTTAACAATAAGATATGTCCATTTATTTCAGACTTCACCATCTTAAGATAACGGCCATTCCTTTTTTCATACAACCAACAGGCCTAAATCTAACACACACAATAATACGAAACACTGATTAATCTGAAATTCACAATAAAATAAATCACTAGAATTAATACGTATTGTTTTAGCAACGCCTTTTTCCAAGCTTCTTGTAGAGACTTCCGCGCAGTTCCTAATCTTCCACGCCTTCTCTCCTACATATCTCATGGACCAAATTTTTGATAGAATATGCCGTGTTATATTTCTTCTTGGAAAATTAAAGTTACAAACCAAAAGCATCGTATTTGTAAGTTTTTGCATTTGCAAGTTAATAACCAAAAGAAAATTAATGCCCAACATTTGATTCATTTCCAAAAACAATTACCAAAAGGACCAACTTTGTCTGCAATGTCATCATCTTTGTCACTGAAATTGTTATCGACAGATCGTTTTGTTGTAGTCTGTTTGAATGCATGCTCCTCGATAATCGGTTGTTGTGATGGAAGCTGCACAATTTGCTGAACTGTTTGTGGTTCCGGTAACGCATCTGCCTGAGTTTCTTGATCACGAAGTTCAGGTTGCACGGACAACGGTACAACTGGTAATTCCTTATGCTAAAAAAAAACTTTCATAAAACTAAATAAAATATTTATTGCGGAGTACACTAGAAAAATTTATCGGGGAGTGCACTAGAACGCTCCACTATATAACATTGCATCAGTCTCTCTGAAAAAGACACAGATGTGTCTTAGCTAGTTAGCATATGCAATTGTGCTGAATGCTTTGAGGAAAAAATCCTGTCCCGATTTAACACCATGGAACGGTCACACCTTTAGCTAAGATGTGAAAATGAAATTTCAGAGAAGATAAATCACTATGCACATTGAATATTTTCTGTCTTGTAGAAGTTAGATTTTACAAAATTTAATGTGCTGTTAATAGTAAGTCATGTTCATACCGGAGGTTCTCTCTGTATTGTGCCACTATCCACGTGCCAATAATACGAAAAACCAGATGGGTCTGGAAAAAAGTTATTATAAACTGTTAAACTCACAAAAATTATTTGAACTTGAGTAATACCTGACAACACCCAACATCATTAGTTCGTTTAAATTAAAAAAAAATAGAAGTTCTTGTCTCGAAATCCTTCTAAGAACTGCTCAACTGATAAAAAAAATAAACGAAGAGAATTTAGAATATATCAAAAAATGCACACATGCCTTCATGCCTTTCCCACCCAAATGGAAGTGGCTTTGCTGCTGGTCCATCATCGGGTCGAATTGGCCTACTATATTGTACTTCAACGTTTATTCCGCTATCATGACTGTCTGGAGACAGAATTGCATCATTTATGATTTCTTCGTCGATGACGTAATCCGTCTGTGGTGGTGGTCTGAAATGAACAATGGTTGAGCAAATTAAAAGTATACAGATATCTATTTTATTCTACACAAGAATAACTTTTTTTTTCTCTTTACTGGAATAAATAATAAAAAGATGAAGGATAAGGCACATTATGCATAACGGAGATTGGCAGATAAGAGTTATTCAGCTACACAGGAAAGTAGTTAGAAAGAATAAGGCTGCAATAATCTAACCGAAGTTCGAAGAAATTAAGAACATATCATTTATCAGCGTGTTGGTTGATGAGCCTACTTCATGGACATCTCCTTGTCGCAGGGAAGAAACTTGCATGCCCCAATGAGGTTGTGAACTATGTTGACGATAGGATCTCCCACGCCAAAAGATCTCAACATAGTGTATCCATGAGCAAGATGGGCTCGCTAATCTCCGGCAATCATCTTAGAACAAAAACAACTCTAATCTCAGACAGATGAAGCTCGCTTAGCCCCGTAAGATCATTCACCTAACAGAAGGATACTCTAACAAAATCATTGTCTTGAGGACTTCACTGTCATCTTGTTCGCTAGGCCTTGACTAGTGAACCTCAGGAGCAAAGGGTAAGGCAATTCCGTGCACGCTATGCCTCACCTAAAAAATCCACGCTCAAGATCGAAGGGACGAGCAAGCGTGTAGCCGAACAAATCTTCGTCCAAATTTTTCCAAATCTTCGTTCGCGAAGCATAGCCAAAATGATGAGATAATGAATTAACTGGACGGTTTATGCATGTTCATGTTTAATAACGATTTATAGAAATTTTTGTCCGTTAAGAAGTCCAAGAAAATTAAGATTACTTCGCGAGTTTCGTAAGCTGAACAAATAAACCAACCTTCTCATCTAAGTTATCAGTAAAAGCAAGGAGTTGTATGGGATATGGCTCCTACATAAGTATACTTCGTCAATAGTATTTATAAACTAAAGGTTAGGGTCGGGATTACAAGTAAAAATAACAATTAATTTCATTTGTTCCCTTTTGCAATATCGAAATATCAGCAAAACCACTTATAACAACTAATTCAAAAGATTTCACTGATCATCAAATCACAGATGACACTACAAATATCACCATGATGACTGCCGAGTAATAAATTAGCATCAGAGCTGATAGCAAATTATTTTAGACTCTATCTGTCAAAGATCATTAAAAGAGGTAATTCAAGAGGACAGCTGATATTTGTTGATACAAAGATGACTTTATGTTTCATACAATTTAGAAAATTTATTAAATGAATGGAATTATCGAACGGAAAAATATACCAGACTAATAAGTTGCTGTTTGCTCATTTTGTGAAAGTATAAAGGCGGGTATATTCAATCTTGACTGTCAACTCTTGACTAGTTCGATAAATCCCATTTTCTATTTGTTGATTCTAGATGGTCAGCATAATATCACATTTATGAGAATCATAGCATTTTAGTTAATAACTAGCTATTAACAAATTAAGCTTCTTTAATCAAACAAAAAAAAAAAATTAAAACCTGTTTAATCAAACAAATTAACCAATTAGCCTCCATATAAATTTTAAACTTTAGTCCTAGAATAAATACTGTAACCCAACGAGAGAATTAGATATGATGGATATGATAATCACCTAAAAGGATCATCATTTAACTATTGAGCAGAAGAAATCAGTGTGCAATCAATATAAAAATCGAAAATAAACCAACTTCGGTGTTTCTTCCTCTCGAGGTCTTGCTTGATCTAATTGCCAATAGAACGAATACGGATCACGATATTCTGTGACCACCGTGGTATCACCATGACGTCGAACACATACATTATCACGTGAAGCAGCATCTATTGCAGCAAGTGATTCGTGAAAGTCATGCGCACTGTAATCAACAGACATACCAGCACTCTTCCTTGCCTTCAAACACCTATGATTTGTTTGGTTTATTCACAACCCTGCGTTATCTTCTGGTGAATCCGTATCCGATGACTTTTCTCACCTGAAATTTACTATTTCATATAACATATACTTAGCACGAGGTTTGATGCGAATATTATTGAATGAATTAAGATGAAGGAAAGGCAGGTAAAACAGTTCTGCTTTCTTTTTAAAAGTGAAAGAAAATGACAATGATGAGTGATAAAATGTAGGAAATCGGGGAAATATCTCCAACAACATCTGAATAAGTTGAAGGAATTAATCACCCATAAATTTCCCAAATTAATGATCTCTCCATGACAAGCTCAATCATACAACCATAAAAGATATCACAAACACTACGAGAGTAGTAAATAAAGTTTAAAATGAAATCATTTTCAGCCAAAATTCACATCTCCCGCTGTACCCTGATGTTCGGCTACTCTATTCGTAAACCAAGCATCACACTATATGGGTTACAGTTAAACAGTGCAAGTGAATAATCTGGAAGGTATAACTTAGAAACCAAATTGATAACGCAACAATAGTAAAAATAGTGAGTGATAATAGCTTCTTCACTATTGTTCGTATCGTGTATTATATATTCTGCATTAAGGCGATGATGAATACCTTGATGCCGCCGGGATTTTAAAAAAAGACCCAGCCACAATCTTCTCCTGAAGATTGTTTTTTTTCCATGCTTAGGCTTAGTGCATTCTGTAATATCAAGTCAAAGAGAGACAAGTATCAGAATGATGATTTCGTCAAACCAAAAATTGTCATGGAGGTTTAATGATCACTTTAATGACCGATGCATTTGCAATGAAAATAACCTTTTGGTTGTTGCGTCCTATAACCTTCTTCTCTGTCTTGTCCTTTTATAGTCAGTCTTATGATAATTTGTCGGATATCCTTTTCCAATCCCAATCGTTGTATCGATAATGCTGCAATATAACATGTACCATTTACTACAATGAAACTTGAACGCATATCGATAAGATAAATTACACTATTATGATATGAAATTGATGAAGGGATACTGCTACAGGCTAACATACCGAGATATTCTTATATTGATATGAGCGGGTTTATGGACAGTATATCGATCTGTATGCTATAATATTATAGATATAATAGAATGATTAACTTTCCTATTTGCACAGTGACCCATTTATTGTATCAAAGAAAAAACTAAATTTCTAAGAGAAAGATAGGGGGAGGGGAAGGGAGAGAAGTACAAGGAGGGGGAGGGAGAGAGAGGGAGAGAGAGAAGAAGGGATAATTCAGGATTTGATAAAGTAGGGGATGTATTTGGTAGGGTATGTCAGGGAGAAAATGAATTGTTAGAGTTTTAGAGAGGTTCTGAAAGATTGATTATGAGGAGCTATTTAACCTTGTCTCCTCCTATCTCAATCTGCAATGTCTGTTTATCTAGGATAGCTCAATACTTTCCCTTGCTTGACTCTTATTTTCAATCGGCATGTAAACAATTAACGTTACAAGTAAATAAGTAATGTGTAAGTAAACAAACTTTGTGTTATTTCTTACGTTGTGTTTTAAGTAAACAATTAGCATTTTAAGCCATTAAGTATAGTGTTATGACTAGAGAGAGTTAAAAAAATGTCTATTACATAAGTAGGTGGTGAATCGATAAAATTAGCAAGAAAAAGAAAACGAAACAGTGAAAGAGTGAAAGAAGAAATGATACTAGCTGATGAGGAGCAATGAAAAGTGACTAAATTGTGCAGTACGGCATTTCAAGGCATACACTATCTTGGCCTTATTAGGCTATCATAGCTAATTCGATAGATTATTCTTTTTTCGCTAGGCCAACATCCTATCACTTCTCTCCATCAAAGCTATTTCAGTTCTGTGGCATACCATCTCCTCCGAGAATGTGCTAGTTAATTGCAATTTTTAAAAAAAAAAAAAACTAACACTCTATATCCTTCTCTGAACAATAACATTTCTTTGCCGGAGACAAGGAAGGAATGGCTTAAGAAAATCCCCGAGGACAAATTGTCTTCTTTCGAACTCTCGGGATTGACTAGGCATATATATATATATATATACATAAACTCTCGGGATTGACTAAGCATATATATAATGTTGTGATCTATTTTTACAACATATAGACTGTGTGATATTCCCTCTCCATCTATCATTAATGACTGCTAATTACTCTAAATGACTTTCACTATGTAAGTAATTAGTGCCCCCTTTGTTCCACTTAGCTATATAATTTATTTAATGAAAGTAATTAGTATCCACTTTGTTCCACTTAGCTATATAATTTATTTACTTTGATGAAGCCACGATTAGTTATCTTTTATAAATCTTATGAGCATTGCTCAATACGAGTTATTTAGGCATCTCCCGGTTCATTTCTCTTTAACTTTCACATATTATTCACCAAACATAAAAACCAGTTAAACATAGAAGCAATGATTTGTAAGGTTTATAAGATATAAGTGACTTACAAATATATCTCCTCGGTTATCAGATGGTATAGTAGTAGTAAAACTGATATTATAATATCAGTGGAAGCTAGCCTAGCTGAATGTATCCATTTGGAGTATCGTATCAATATTAATAATACTCTTCACAATTACGTCCTTCTACTTCATATCTAGATAAATGATCTCTATAAAAATGATCGATGATGAGGATAAACGTATCGCAAAGATTGGACAACACAGTATACCGATCTTATCTTTCCACACTTCCATTCTCGATAACAATTTCTTCAAATATTCATGTTGTTGACCTGTGACCTTTTTTTAGTTTGTTTTAATATGTTAGAGAATTTGACATGTACATCTATCTTTGAAGTTTTTTTTTTAATTATTTGAAAATCAATTTCGTATGGAAGCGTTTAAGATAGCAGTGTTACACTGAAAGCAATGACCAATTGCGAAGTTCATTTGTTTGGGTAAGAAAAGGAGGAAAACTTTGATACTTTTCGATTGCATCTTCTGATCGTGTGAACATGTTTGAATATGAATCACTTCAAATAGCAAACACTGAAGCATCATCATTACAAAATGTATACGAATACGTGCAAATGTGACAGAATCTTGAGCGACGGTCATTTTTCCTCTCAAATGACATTTTCTTATCAATAATCCTCGTCTGTTGTGTCATATGGAAGTAAGCGATACGATACTTAACTAATAGATGCTGTCTTACACATACAGATAGTTTACTTAAATTTAAAAAAAACGATCTTTTTTGGAAATGATACACAATTAATTTTTAACCTAAAGAACCGCTAATTTACTTCGACGAGTGTTGGTCGTTATCTTTCATTGATCACTACCACTTATAAAGCAGTAGTCATATATTCGATTAAAACTCTTACATAGCAAAGTCTACCGTGCATCTCCTGGTTATCTCGATCTTTTCGTTACCTCTTTTAGTATAAAAAGGTATTTCTATCAATCAAATATCTTTCATCCTAATTCTTCATTCAAACGAAAGATTACGCTTTAGCATTCAAATAGTCATATAGATGACAAAAGCCATCAACCATTTATCAAACAGTTGTACTTCACTATCCTGCGATATAGGTTAATCTAATTCTTTAGGTATGACGTAATTCGATCGCGTCCATATCAACTCGTCTGTCGTTTAGTGAGGAGTCGCTGACGTATTCAAACGGGTGGTATCAACTTCATTGTTCTTCATTGTTTACCTCATGTCGTAGTTACCTCATCTTGTCTGGGGATTAAAGGCGTTCATATCAGCGCTAAAACGTTGGAACGTTAACAATACTCGTAAAGCCTTGTCATAGTCATTCACTCACACACACACACACACACATACACACACACACACACACACACACACACACACACACACACACACACACACACACACACACACACA